ATATATATATATATATATATATATATATAAAGAGAGAGAGAGAGAGAGGGAGAGTATATATATATATATATATATATATATATATATATATATATATATATATATATATATATATATATATATACAAACTTGGTCAATGTGAATTTGCTGAAAAATGTTGGAAATTCCATTCAAACTGGAAGATTACAATTCATGGATCTAGACTTGAGACTATCAGGGCCTGTTTTAATTCAGGAAGACTAATTGCAGACAAATTCCAGCCACAGTTGAAGATTTGTGAATCCAGGAAAGGCATGAGGACGGTGATATACTGCTTGTGGCCTCGCAGGCCTCTAATGATGAGCTGTTACTGACTACAATAGGATGGTGATGATGATGATGATGAATGAGCATGCAAGAGTGGCTTTGCAAAGTGTGTGTCCGTGATGGGGGGAAACCTCGTCAGCTCCCCGACCAAATTTAGGACAGGCACACCTCAACATCCCCCACGACTCCAGTGTTTCACTCATGTCAGGCCAAAAAACACGTCCACGGAGGTTGCTCAAACTAGGTCGACTGACGGCTTTTTTTGGATCACAGAGGGAGGAAATCGTGCCATCTAAATGATCGCTCTCTCTCCTAAAACCTACTCTGATGGTGAAAAGCCTTCCCCACCAGTTTTATTTTTACACGCGTCAAACTGGGTCAATGACGATGCCACAGAATGTGACCAAAAATGGAAAAGGAAAAAAATGAAATCACGTCTGGGTCACCAAAGACAAGAAGTTCTGGACATCTCTCAAAACATTTTTTTATTGATCATATATAAAATAAAGGAAGCTGCCAAACATACAGTATATACAACAGTACATCGATAACTTAGCCACACCCGAGAATGACTAACTGCATGGTTAAAATCCACAGTTCTTATATATGAATACATCATATCACTTGTTTATCTACAGATTGCAAAAAAGTACAATAATTTAATTCATAAATAGTTACAATTCACCCATTTTTGTTACCGTATTTGATACAAAGTACTGAAATATATATATATATATTATTACAACCCATAGATAAAAGCAACCAAAACAACATTCTATCAATGTAATTCACCGATCACCACCTCACGTTTCATAGCTTTATTTTCTGATTTAACACTTTTGAGACAAAGAACTATTCGGAGCCAAACAGAAACCTGTGGTTACCTGCTCACCAAACATAGAACATGATGAACGAAGCCTACTTAGCCTAAAGCTAGTACATATTGTCACATAAGTGCTGATAAAGTTATCAGTCCTCCCAACTCTTTTCAGACAATGGAAAGGGTCAAAGACTTTCTTGGATGCATACTGTGAAGAAACAAAAAACAGACAAGGCCCCCTCACTGTTAGTAAGCCTGTTTCTTGATCGATTTGGTGACGAAAGGTTTTTCTGAACATCCCTTATTATTCAATGTACTCCTCAGTGTGATATCATTCCCTCCAACTGTCCGATTCACAATAGCACTATTATAAGAGCTACAGCAAACACGGCAGTGCAAAATAGCTCTGAGTCAAGGTGATCAATAATGTATGTCCACAAAAGGATAAAGTGAGGCATTTGTCCAAGAACTCCATTTAACACCGCTGAGGAGCGCCATGGGCAGAAATCCTCAGTGGCCCTCAGATTTTTCAGAATGGGGGCTGCAATGTGAAAATGCAGACGACTGCAGGAACACGGATGCAATGCAATAAATGCACAAGGGATGGTCAGTTCTGCAAAAAGGCAAAACTGACCCTTTGCCATCTCGCTGAACCGCCTGTGCACGACCCCCCACCCACGACGCAATCAGCAGGAACAATGCGGTGCAAGATGTTTTTTGAACGATGCAGCTTCAGCAGACCTCTCGGCCAACGTGTCAACTGAGGATAAATCGTCTCCAAACTGGAGTACGGCAGCATCATCATTTTTCCAGGGTTGCAATACAACATGATGCTCTGGAGTAGAAGTGATATGAACGCCACTGAGCACCGCTGCCTTAACACCATACAGTTTCAATTAGTCATCAGAGCTCTCCAATTGTGGAGCTGCACCACAATAGACCAGAGCAGACTTGTCACCCATTTTTAGTCAGTGTCATGCTCAAATTAGGAACTCTAAGATGTTTTTCTCTATGTGAAAAATGAATGGCGTTTTCAAAAACTACCCCCCTGTATTGTCCTCTGTGATAAAAATGTTCCAAACCCAATACAAGGGGTGTCAGGAGAGATTTATGGATAGGGGGCAAAGCCTTTACTATGGCTGTCTGGGGGCATTTGTTTCTCCTCCAGGAGAAATGAAAAAATGGCCACAAAATGTTTGTTAGTCATTTATAAGTAGCAATAGGCATAAAATCAAGGCTGTTTGGTTAAATGTGCACACAGTAAGTCTGTCTCTTCATAGTCTGTACTATGAATCTAATATGACTTAAATGCTGGAAATCATACTTTGATTAAGTAACAACCACGTAATGCAGAAGATCCAATGAAATTTGAGGGAAAATGTATACACAACACAGAACAAAATGCATGAGATTAAGAACATAGACAAAACTAGCTTAAAACCAGAGTTCCTTATTTGCGCATGACACTGACAACAAAATGACGACACAACTTCAGAGGTCTATTGGTGGAGTTAATGGAGCAGTTCAGCCAAACATGCTAATGTTGCCACCTAGATTGGTCCAATCATTTTAGCATTATCTTAACTACATCACCACTAGCTCAAACTGAGAGAAGTATTTCTTCAAAAATAATGAATGCAAACTGCAAGGACTTTTTGGGAGGACCATTCCCACTTCTGTGTCTTTATACAACAAAACCTTAAAGAAAAACACCAGTAGTTTTAAGGACTTCTCAAACTCGATCCAGTCTCTCTCACTAAATTCTTCGACTGACCCTCACCACCAGGTGAAAGATGAATTGCTTTCGGTACGTAACGCGACACGTTTTGTCCTGAGCAGAAAGCAGGCAGAAGCATATCAAAAACAATATGCTCATCTCAACAGTGCATTTTCACTTACTTCAGTCATGAAAATAACCTGATCATATGTAATATGATCTTTTCCTATGCTCATGAAAGTACTGTACTGCATCTATAGTGCTACACTTTGCCTATAGTCTCAGTGCCATGTTCAAGCCGACACAGCTCATGTGCAATATAATGGAGGTAAACAAACAAAATGTTGGTTCAGATTTATTTTAGGTATCCATAAACCATAAATCCATAAATAAAATTGTTGTGCATGTAATGGTTTTTATTTCTAGCGTCCCAATGAATTCCACTGAGCCCTTTGTATTTGCAAAATCTCAAGTAAATGCAAAGTATTTAATGCAAATACAGGATGTGATGAGTGCATTAGTAGAATCTTTAAATATAAATACTTATTACAGCCTGGTATGTAGGACTGTAGGACATGAAGGAAGTCTACTAATTGGCCACTACTAATGACTTTCACAATGGCACTCATATACAATGGGTGTGTGGTTCAATTTAAAAGCATCATCCAGTCAATTCAAAATTCAGCTGCTTCATTATTTTATGGATCAATTTTGTCATACAAGCCAAATATTATGAATTACCACGGCACAGAAAAGATGGACACCTAATATAAAGCAGGACCAAATTAACTGAATGCAGTTCTCAGTGATGAAGCTCAAATGTTAGTATGCAAAACTTTGCCTTGTCTACATTTGAAAATATGTCTCTCTGTAAGTGTTTAGAACATGTCTTTGACAGCACCTTTAGCGTCTTTCATATGAGGTGCGGCAGGTCGCATTATGGAAGTCCATTATTTGGGAGAGATTAATGAGGAGGAAGAATTCAATTTTGCATTGCTAAACAAAATCCAGAAAAAAAAAAATCCTGTATCAAATATATGGAAGGGACCAATATGGATGGACGACTGTCTTCTGTACACCGCCTTGTTTTATGAGATTCTTCTAAATATATTCATTTAAATAGTACAGCATGACACCACTACAGTGGACGACACTGCCACCTGATCACTTTCACAGCACGCCACGCGCTACTCCACTGCACGCGCCTAGTCACTAGAAAAGCTATCAGACTTCAATAATAAGCCACTTTTGGTACAATTGCAAAATTGATATCAAACAAGTTCAAGTTTTTTTTTTTTTTTCCATTTTTTCCCCTATAAATCACAAAGGATTTTCTTACCAAAAAGGAAAGAAAAGTACAACTAAACCTTTAGTCAGACAAAGACATCGAGGAACACTTACTAATAAATTCAACGATAAAGCCTGTGTAGGTTGTGTTTGGAGAACCGTGATTAACCCATCCGCACAAAAAAAAAACAAACAAAAAAAAAAAAACACAAAATGTTTACAGCTCTAGGACGTCGAACGAAACTAAACCTCTCAAGATTTCACACGTTTGTCAATGCACTTTACGAACGTTTACCTCAAAACATGTTCAAAAAACGACGTAAAACACTATTAGCCGCTCCTCCGGGTCAGGAAACAAGGAAAACAGTTTGCTATATTTTATGGAAAGGCTCCCTCATGACAAACTCAGTGTAACTTGCGTCTACAAAAGGTGAACATCACCTTTAGACACAGCTACTGGATTTCTTATTTTCCATGCATAAATACAATATTTTATTGCCTCTCCTTGTCATATTCCTCAGAATATAACTTGTAAACATCATTCCACAAATGGAATTGAACAAAACAGAAAACAAAACAAAAATAGCCAACAGTTGATTCTCGACTGTTTCAGGAAAAACAGACTCTGGAAACAGGACATCAAACTTTCATCTTTAAGCAACGAGTGGTCGTTGCTTTCCACTCACTGTGTTTGCTGAGTGTTAACATTAGCATCCTTGCACAGAACCTGTACAAATATGTGTTACTTTGCTTTTATCTCCAGGCCAAAAAAGCTAAAGAAGACAGGACTAGCACCTTTTCAAATTCAAGTCAAATCTTTCCCATTTCATTCTACAGCGACAGCCATGCTGGCAAAGTCATTTTGTGGGTTATAGTTATTTTTTAATGGATGAGACAGTTTCACAATTGTAATTTTTACAACTTCAAGTTCAAATTAAGGCGATTGCAGCTGTATAAATGTTTTAATTTAAAATACTTCTGAATCTCCACTTCATTGCCTAGTCCAAAGAGGCAATTTCTCATTTCAGTGCAGAATAAATAAAATAGTGTTAGCTTAAATTACCTCAGTCATCTGGCTAAGAATGCTAATGTCAGAGCGCAGAAGTTTGACTCAGCAACTGCAGTCTGTGAAAAGCACTGGCTTGTTTCAAGGCAAGCCTAAGGTTGTTTAAAAATGAAGATTTGGTGAACCTTTAGATCGAACAGTTTTCATCATCACTTGTGAAATCGTGATGGCGCTCCTAGCTTTGCCCATTTGTAAACTGGTCAGTGGATGACATCAAGCACAGGAATCTGAAAAATGAAAACAATATTAATCTCATATTTCCCCTGTTGTGTCAGGGGATCAGCAGTGCTATGAAGATCAGTGGGTTGTGACAATGACAATTTAGTGTTAATTGCAGAGGACTGCAGTGTTCCTCAACTCCAGTTCTGGGGAATTGCCCTGTGCAGAGTTGTGTATTCCTGCTCTATCACACCTGATTCAGATAACTGAAAATTTGGCAATTAGCACAAAATTTGTTGAGTTAAATCAGGCAGGCAGTGCAGAGACATGAGAAACACTGAACAAAAGACTACTGTTCAAAAGATTGGAATAACTTAAACTAATATATTTGTCTTTTTATTTTATATACAATAGTAAATTCTACAGCTTAAATGTTATAAACTAGACACCGAAAGGTATTTTCACATGTTCCCTTCAATACTGCAAGTATTTGAAGAACAGGAAGAAATTATTAAGTAATAATTAGAATACTGTAATTAGTGGTTTATGGTCAAGTTATCCGCCTTGAGATTTGACCATTACTTAGAAAATATTAAGCATTCCTGTATTTTATTATAACTTCATCCTAGATGCTATACACAGTTTGTTGGAGTCCTTGGTCATTTTAGAACATGAGGGTCAAACTAGGTTCCTTCTGAGCCACATGCGGTGTTCAATCTAACTCAGAAGTGGGAAGTCAGAGATCAGGAATCAAATCATTTACGAACCTGAACACCTCGATGAAAGCAAGTATTGTTAGCAACAAGTTAGCAAGCTAACATTAGTGATGTGAGTGTTCTGAATGTATATACCTTCACAAAACAACAAAGTGGAAGATGAAGTATCCATCTTAATATGACTACTCTAATACGTTTACTCTGAACTCAAATTTCCAAGGAGGAATTCCCAGTTGAGGGGGTGTTTTCTTTGATATTTTCCTAGTCCGAGTTACAGTCTTTAGTTGAATGCAACAATAGTGTTCTGCCATCTTTAGACACACCTGATTCAACTCATAAAATAATTAGCAATGAAGAGTATTAGATAAAGGATAACACTTTTCTCTGCAGAGCTGTGACCCAGAGGAAACCCAATTTGACAGCCCTGTTTTCACCTATGACAACACAAGATTTCTTCATTATTTGCAGCTTCCTACCTCCCTACTAATGATTTGAAACCTGTGAGGTCGCACAGGAATAGCATATCAAAATCATGTTACACATGTACCTGCAGCAAAATGTGGTTTTCCATTATTGAAGACATTGATTCCGAACTTTTGAACAGAAGCGTAGGACAAGGTTGCAATGAGAGAGCAGAGAGCAGACAGTGATTGAGATCAGCTCACTGAAACTCACCATAATTGCCCCCTTAAGGAGCGCACTGCTGGACAGAGCATATTCAAGTGCTTGTTATTTTTTCATTTCAGCCAAAAGCAGAAGCCATAGACCTGTGCTTGATATTGATGCACTGACCAAAGAGTTTAAGGTCATTCCCCTCAGCTGTGCATTATGATCGCGCCTCTGTTTTGGACTTGACGATGGTAATGACGCTGGTGGCGGCCACTTTGCCCGGTATGAGGGGCCCGATGACGGAGGTGATGGGGCCCCTGGTGGGGGTCACTGGGCTGCGGGCCACAGTCCTGGCAAAGCTCTGTAGGGCCTCGTACTTTGAGCGCAGCACGTCCAGCTCCACCTTCATGCTGGCATTCTCGGAGGCCAATTTCTCCACTTCCTGCTGCAGCTCTGCCTTCTGCTTCTCCAGCTCCTCCTTCTGCGTCACACGCTTCACCCGGCAGCTGGCAGCGTAGCCGCGGTTCTTGAGCGTGCGCCGTCGCTGCTTCAGCTGCAGGATCTCCTCCTTGGAGAGGCCGCGCAGGTGCTGGTTCAACTCCCGCACCGACATGGACACCAGCTCATCGTCCGTAAGGCTCGTGCCATTCTCTCCTGGCTCCCGCTTCACCTGGACACAGAGAGAGAGAGAGAGAGAGAGAGAGAGAGAGAGAGAGAGAGAGAGAGAGAGAAGGAAAAAAAAGAGAAAGAAAGAAAGAAAGAAAGAAGTCAAGAGGGTAAGAAGAAAAAAGAAAGGGGAAGGTAATAAAAGAAAGCAAAACAAAGAAAGATAAATTCGGATGGGCAGCAGAGAGAAATTAAAAAAAGAAAGAATGAGAGATAAAGAATGAGACAGAAGGAAAAGATGGATACAAAAATGAATTGATGCCACTGTATTTCTAAAACTAATTCTGAATTCACTGTGGTATTTGAAATTGAGATGAGTTGAATCATTTTCTAAATAATCATAATCAGTGAAGTGAGGGACAACATGGAAAATCCACAGAAAACGAATAAAGGAAGCCAGGCTGTGGAGACTTGCCTTCAGCGCTTTGTTTCCCTTGTTTGTAGTAGTCATGCCACGAGAGCCGCTCTCAACTGCCCAGTAAGACTGTCTGCTGAGAGAACAGAGAAAGCAAACCTTCAGTGTCCAGGAAGAAAGAAATGTGGATAACAGTCTTTTGTATTTATGTACCAAAGATCTGGAACACACTACCAATAAACACTCATGAGGCTCCTTCTATTACTGATAAAAAAAAATAAAAATCTGTTTAAAATGTGTTTTTTTACTGTAGCATTTAACTAGCTTTTATTACTTCCATTGCTTTCACTGACTTTACCTTTTACGTTATCTTCATGTTATTTTAATTGTTGTATATTTATCCTATTTTTGTTTTTCATTCTTATTGTTCTAATTTTGACACTGCTTTTAGTTATTGCATCATATTGTTTGCTGATTTTACCGTTTTATTTGACTCCCTCTTGCTTCTTTTCGTTCTACTGTTGTTTTTAGTTCACACTCAAACACACTGAGCTGCATTTAAATGTATGAAAATGTGCTATATTAACAAAGTTTTTATTATTATTATTATTATTAGTATTATTATTATTATTATCCATTACAGCTACACTTTGTAAGTTTTGGGGATTTGAGGGCATCTCTGGTGGAAAAGTGTAATTGCACACAACATGCAGAAGAAAATTTTGTAACGTGGGTTGTGCTTTGGACCCCTTCCCCTAGTGAATGAACCTGATGATTGCAAGCGCATTGAAAAAGTATTCAAACAGAACTCAGTCAAAACTTAGTGAAGGACATGTTTTCAGAAGATGTAAAGGAGTTATCTACTACTGTCATCATACCTTCATCAGTATAATGTTAATTTTGCATTTGAGACCTAAACATCAAGCTCGATTTTCTTTTTGAATCTGTGCATATGACGTTAATATGTAAAAGACATATGACACCGTCTGAAAACCTCCCACAAATTTCCACTCTGCAGCTCTTAAACGTTAAAATACTATTTTGGGCTTTTTTCCTGATTCACCAGTGCTATTTCTTTTCATTACAAAAAAACATACATAGTGCAGCTTTACTTTATTGGCAAATTTCTTACAAACAGACTACAATTTCACACAGGAATTTGATGGATATATGATCATGCGAAAATCAACAGACACTCTTGTGGTGTAATATATCAATATCTATTAGTATAATAATATTGGTGGAATATAACACACATCACTGTCACCACTAAATTAGAATAAATACAATTAAAAAATAAATTTGATTTTATGTGTCAATGTGTTTAACCTTTTCCAAACCTCTCTGTGATCAAGCCCAGTATTTACAGTTATCATCCAGTACCTGCTTCAGGTAATTAGTAAATCAGTAAGCTAAACCAAGCAAGCTGCTGAACAAATCCAAATTGGTGAAGTGCACAGAGAAGTCAGGAACCAAACCTATTTTCTTCTAACCAAAATATTAAAAAAACACTAAAAATCTTATATTTTACTATATTTGAGTTTATTTGTATTTATTATGTTGACATATGTAGTGTCTTTAATGGCAAAAACAATTACAGCTGAGATGAATAACTGTAAAACATTTTCATGGCTGCCTAAGACTTTTTTCACAGTACTGTTCTTAATATCTGTTTTCATAATAAAGCTGCTGAATGTGTTTAATGTGACCAGTACATCGCTAACAGAAGACAGATGTGGAAATAATGCTTATCAGCCCAATTTTCATATCGGTGTGTGCCTTGCACAAAATAACGTGTGAGTAACTTACTGAGCTCAGCAAATACGGGAAAAAAGCAGCGGAGTACGATAACTCCAATGCTACAGTAATGGGGAGCAAGACACAGGCCATTTCAGCTAACTGATTTTACGCTCCTGGGAGAAATAAAAGGACAGATATTGCTGAAATCTCCAGGGATGCCTCAGTTCAAGGCCATGCCAGTTGTTGTAGTTATGCTTTATCAGGTCATTTATTAGTGTAATGATCTCAGTAAGTGTAAAAGAGAGCAATACACCAAGCATATGGCTTCTCTGATGGTTTGTTTGCTCCCAACAAACGGCTGCCATAAATAGCGAAGTCAGCTTGCCATGCACTCCATAAACAGCACTACTTCAGTACAGCCAAGTAAAACACATCTCATTGACATTTGGCAAAGCCATTCGAGTAGGTAAGTGCAAAGCCTTGCTATACAGAAACACCCTGCACTAAAGGCTCTTTAAAACATGCTAGCACACATGGAACCACACACAGGGGAATCAAAGATGCTTCAGAAAGCTGGGAGAGACAGATTCACTGTGGCACCAGCATCAAAATAAATAAATAAATAAATAAAAATAGAATTAGAGCATGTCTTTTACGGAGGAGGTCAGGCCGACCTACTCTCTTAAAGGTTCCAAAACAGGGTTATTTGGAGCACCACAGAAGAACCACTTTTTGTTCCCTAAAGAAACCTTTCAAAAGAACCATTTTTGTAAACGAGGCACGCAAGTATGAAGAACTTTGAACCTTTCGTGCCTGATTCAAAAAGCAGTTTGGGCTGAAACGCTCTTTTTAACTTCAGTATGAATGGGCAAAATGAAACTGCTGTAGCCTGAATAGGCAGATGCACTACCAGTCAAACCCTTCTCGAAATGGTTCTATTTAGAACCATATACAACACATTTTCCATCCATCTGAAGAATCACACGGAACCATTTAATTATGCCAAGGGTTCTTTGAGAGTTCATGGCTCTAAACAGAACCATTTTCTTTACTAAAGAACTACTGAAGAACCGTCTTTTATAAGAGTGCTGCCTCCTATCCTGAATCAGAAGCTGCCCAGAACTCCAGCTCAAGTTCTCGGAGTTCTCTCCCTTCCTTCAGTCATACAACCTCTTCTTTTACTACAGCCATATGTTGAAGGGATGGTTCCAAACTCGCATACTTCAATATGTATCATTTCACAGTTCTAATGCCTTCAATATTATTGTAAAACGAGCCTAAACTTTTGACTTGTTGTGTATGTTAATTGGTTGGTTTTTGTGAATTCACATACGCATGAAATTCAAAAGGGGCTGCTTCTGCAGTTTAGTTTCCATTTATGAAAGTTTTGAAAATTTAACGATGTTTAAATAAGACATCGAACTCTTACTTCATAAAAGTGGGGAAAACTTGGTTTTCTATGATATGGGCCTTTAAGTGTAGAAGATGGCTTCAGGCATTTAAGTAGAACCATTTTAATTGTGATCATCAGCAGCAGCGAGGGTATATATTAATAATTCATTTTAGGATATTATGGCCATGCATCATTGTGCTGACTTAATACAGAATAAACAAAAGGTCAGCAAATTTCAGCAGCAGTACGGTCAAGATGCAGAGGAGCAGCAAAATCTGTACCTGGCCTCAGAACTGTCCAAGTGCTCTGTTTGTGTGTGTGTTTGTCCTAGCAAGAAGCTTATCTGATGGGCTGTGCTGAGCTGTTCTGTGATGCGTTTGTGTGTGTGTGTGTGTGTGTGTGTGTGTGGATGGAGCTGAAACAGCTGGGTCGCAGCAGGAGTGGGGTCACACGGGCAGAGCCAGCAGTAGTGGCAGCATGCTCACACATACACAAAAACACAGGCTCTGCTGGCTCAGCAGACTCATGCCACTCCACTCGCTGCCAAACACACAGTCACCAGCATTACACTGCTGGACTCCAGCCACTGCCGCTGCACCTGCGCATGTCCCACTGTGCCTTTTCACACACCCTGCACGTTTGACCGAGGGGGCACACGTTCAGACTGGATAGCAGTCCCTTGTGGAATTCAATAAGCAAGTTGATCTTTCACTGTGAGCATTATTAAAAAAACAAACAAAAAAACAAAAAACAAAACTCTGAGTCAGGCTACTCAGAAACCTCACGTAACAGTTCAGTGAAAGGCAGCATTTGAATGCCCTGGAGGTGACCCGTAGTTGTCACTGCAACGGAGAGGCACAACGGGTGTGGCGCTCACCTGAACTAAACAGGAACAGGCAGCAGCTTGTTAAAAACAACCTGAATATGACAGTACAGTGTAAGGAGCAGAGAGCGACACAGGTGCACCGTCAGGGTGCACCTATGTCGCTGCTGCTGTTAGACTTTTCATATCGCTACTGTCAGATCTCCAAACTGTAACTTTACACACACACACACACACACACACACACACACACACACACACATTTTCTAAGACACCTATTATCCTAGGGCATGGTGGGGTACAGGAACCCATTCCAGCGCTCACTGGGTGAAAGGCAAGAAACACCCTGGACAGGTCGCCAGTTCATCACAGGGCTGTAACTTTACAGGAGAAGAAAAACATTTCATTTAAATGTAAATAAAACTAAATATTTACACCAAAATGCAAATTTAATTTGTTTTTCAATACATAAACAATTAACAGAAAGTTACACAGAAGCCTCAACAACCAAACATAATATAAATTTTTTTGCTTTTATTCCATTCTTTTTGGGAGACTTGCTTTCAGTTTCTCAAGGAAAACCTGCAGGGATTTGGCCACACCTCCAAAATTCAGTCTTAGAGGTTGGTTCAGTCTTAGAAGCATTTTCTACTTCTCATGATCCAAGGAATCCAAACACATTCAGTGAACGATGTTGAGGTCTGGACTCTGGACTGATCAGTCTATTATTCTGATTTGCAATTTTTCTTCTTTTCCGTCTTCTTTTTTTCCTCAGTAACAGCTTATTGAGAGCTGAACATCCTCTCAATGCTGAGCTGTCTTCTCACAGTGGAAGGATGAACAGGAACACCTGTGTTTTTTTCAGACCTGAAGTAAGAGTGAAGCTTTGATCTCTCACAGATAAAAGCTTTAAGTACTGTTTATCTGATCTAATGGTGACAGTTTTGATGGCCTACCAGGTTTAGGAGTCCCACTTTATCTATAACTTTTAATATAATAAAATAAAAATAAATTTTTGAACTTATTTTCTTTTAACTTTCCTTTGGCAAGTGCATTGTCTTTTATCTAATCTCAGAAATACCTCCTGTAAAAATAGTTTACATCTTGTCAGTTTTGACTGGGAAAAGGGTCGTCTCTGACGTGCACACAGTATTGTATATTTAAATGGTTTTCAGCAACA